GCTGGAGATTTCAGTCGAGAACTGTAAGGTAAGGTGTAATCTCCACATTGCTGGAGATTTCAGTCGAGAACTGTAAGGTAAGGTGTAATCTCCACATTGCTGGAGATTTCAGTCGAGAACTGTAAGGTAAGGTGTAATCTGTACATTGCTGGTGATTTCAGTCGAGAACTGTAAGGTAATGTGTAATCTCCACATTGCTGGAGATTTCAGTCGAGAACTGTAAGGTTAAGGTGTAATCTCCACATTGCTAATGGGGGTTAATGGGGGTGTATATTCCACCTGATCCATTTTATAAAAAAAGAAGTAGTTGTGTTTATAGAAAAAAAATTTCAATCAATTTTACCAGATCAGAATATGGTTTTCTTTCATTAGAAATATGAAATCGCCCGGAGTATTTTTTAATGTTCATGAAATCATTTCTTTGATTAATAATAGATTCTTCTGGCCAGTTATTTAAAAACATTATAAATTGTTTTCATACTTGAAAATATCACTTGAGTTTTTATCGATTAAATGTATTTGCTGATGTCATATATTGTTCATTTCAGCTGGCAATGTCGAAACTAATTCGTGGCAATGAATTGGAACTAGCTATAAGTGTTGGATTGTCATTGAATGTAAATGAACATTGTGAACTTACTTATCTTGCTACGGAGCTGTTGGCAAAGAGATGTGAAAAGATTAGTATGTGGTAAGTTCACCCACCCATCATTTAATACCCTACACACTCCTACTCAGGTAATAGAATCTTCCACTGTATTTTTTCTATGCTTATTATGCATGTAATATCATGACCTTTAAGAATTAAGATGTATAATGGTATTATGTGATTACAAGAATACAGTGTGCACTCAAACAAGGTTGTGTAAGATGAATTCTAATCACAGTGTCTCTGCGTACAAAGGGAGCATTCTCAGATTCATGTAAACAACAAGTGCACACTTCACTTTTGAGCATGTGTTTTTTATTAACCAATTTTGATGAGCACTTTTTAGACACGCATTGGGTGCTGACTGTCAAACTACATTTGAAGTGTAATGTTATATATTAACAGAGGTACATGTACATTACTTGGGGTTTGCAACACGTATGTACTGTATGGTGACATCATGTCAAGATCCCATTCAAGTCTCATCTCGTAGATAGTGAGACTGGTGCTACGACCTTCTGACATGACATAGGCGGTTTGTAATAAAACAATAAAACATGTATTACCACATTCATAGTGAAAAAATTTAATACATCGAAAATGTAATATAGTTAGCGTAATCCGTCATAACGTGAGCAGCTATTTTGATCAACCTGGACATCCCAGTATCCTAGTTACCTTGGGCATGCGCATTCAAATTTTTCTGAGTTGGAACACTTATGTGAGAGCGAGATTGAAACGGGATCTTGGTATCATGTCACCGTAGTTGCAAACCCCAAGTAATGTACCTCTGATATTAACCATTGTAATAGTCATTTTATGTTAATCCTCATTCACAAATAGAAATAGTCTAAACTAATAAATTCACTGTGTTTACAATATTTTTAGCTAGTTGTGGACATCATTTATCAATTATTTCATGACATTTTTATCGAAAATGTGTCAACTACATGTAAGTGAAAATGACAGACAATTTGAATTGACTGGAGAAAACATGGAGAGACTAGACTGTGTATCTAGTCAAATGCTATTATTCAATCAAAACTTGTATATTTCCAGCTCTACTGATCAAGTAACATCTGATATTCAATCACTGATGATCTTGATGATACTAATTTCAGTGGTGGCCATTTGTTTTTACAAATATATAACTAGTATGTTTTTATTCATGAATCTCCATTGAAGCCGACATACATACATTGGGTTGTACCAGTACTTTTTGTGCAAAGCTCCAAACTGTTTTTTCTTATAATAATA